CCCGAAGAAGTTTGAATTCTGCGAAAAGTGTGAAACACGTCTCAAATGATTTTTCATATAGATCACTGGAAATGAATTTGAGCGCGAAACGTCACCCACCAAATCTTTGACCTCCATTTCCACCAAGGAGGAATGGATTTTCCTAAAAGTGTGAAACACCCCTTAAATGAATTTGAACAAAGATCTTTGAAAATAAGTTTGGGGTCGATCGGATGGTAAACAAAAAACTTTCATACAACCGTTTTCCGCCAATTTACTACTGTTGCGGGTGGAATTTCCCAATTCGATGAGATACGTATTTATTAAGTTCTTATGGAGAGCTTTGAAAATAAGCTTAAAGCAAATCGGACACAAATTAAAACGTCGCCCAAAAAATCTTTAAATCGCATTCCCCCCGAAGAAGTTTGAATTCTGCGAAAAGTGTGAAACACGTATCAAATGATATTTCTTATAGATCTCTGGAAATGAATTTGAGCGCGAAACGTCACCCACCAAATCTTTGACCTCCATTTCCACCAAGGAGGAATCGATTTTCCTAAAAGTGTGAAACACCCCTCAAATGAATTTGAACAAAGATCTTTGAAAATAAGTTTGGGGCCGATCGGATGGTAAACAAAAAAGTTACATACAAACGTTTTTCGCGATTTTCCCACACTTGCGGGTGGAATTTCCCGAAACCCCGTCTTAACGTGCACCTACATCACATAAGGTAACTACAGTGAAAATTTCAGCTTCCTAGCTCTTACGGTTTGGGCTGTGCGTTGATCACCAATCAGTCAGTCAGTCAGTCAGTCAGTCAGTCAGGACAAACAGTTTTATATATAGAGATTGTAATGTATTGAATTATTATAATTAAAAGACTTTAATTATTTTAGATGAATGCTTATTGTATGTGATAATCATGTTGTCATGGTGATGGTTGACGCTCAACTGTGGCACTCAATATATGATGGTGAAAAATGCATTGATGGGTGCGTTCCCTGTAAGTACAAAAATATGTCATCGACTAGCAGCGACACCTGGTAACAAACTATACTTGCTCAATATAGAAGAAACAATATTATTACAGTTATAATCTGCTTCATTTTCATCTCCGGAAGCGGTGTGCTTATAATCACTATCTGTTGAGCTGTTGATTCTGTTGATCTGAAAGACTCCTCTGATCAGTTTGCCTTCCGAACTGTTTGATCAATCAATAACTTCGATAATTACTGATTCGTGTGGTACATCTATTTTTTCTACCAGGTCATGACCGTGGCAGCCCCCTGGTTATTTTTAAAGTATGTGCAGTTTGCCTTCCCCTTTGTTGTACCTTTTGTCTTTTTGGTCACCTTATTTTATATTCTCCAAACTCCTTGCAGTTTGACGCAAAAGTGTACCTATCATGAGTAGACTTGATTTCCTGTGATTTTGCCAAGGTAGACGCCAAATTTTTGAGCTGAGAACAGAACATCGATAAGGTCCCTTCTAAGTCCAGATATAAGCACGCGAAGTGCATCTGATCTGTGGTTACCTTTCATCTGCTGTGCCGGAGACACATCATACTGCATGATAGTTTTGTTTGTTAACAGGTTAGCTTTTTCTACAACTTGTCGTACAACTGTTAGAGGGTCATGTTGCACTGCGTGAATATGCAAAGTTCCTGCTCAAGCAAGTGAACCGGGTGCGTGACGGCATACGTAAAGTCTAATCTATCTATAAAGCCATCAAAATTTAATGTGGCGCCGAACGATGCAAACATGTTGTCAGATGTACCCCTTATTTTGCTTCATATAATTAGCACCGCCTAATAATGGCGTGCATTTCACTTATGATTTCCATAAAGTCTATATGCAGCCTTTCCCGCTTGGCGCCAAGACACAAAGTGTTCTTTAAATTCTAGGAGAGACTTTACAACGTCGAGAGTTTCGTCGCAAAGTACATTTGCTTCCAGTGTTACGTCTTTATACACTTTTATCTCAGATTCCGCCACCGACACCTTTTGTATTCAGCCTGTGAGCTCCTGTATTTTCCTTTTAAACTCGTCGCTTTGGAGCTCCAATACAGTGCCCACTGACGTTACAATAGTAGCAACTGGGCCATGTCCAAATTTTTTTAGAATTACTAGACTGAAAACTTCCTGCCACCGTCCGTTACGCTGACGGATCTGCTCATAGAGTCAACACTGCTCATTTATTGCGTTTGGTTTTCAAAAATATTAAATTAAGTAAACGGCAAAAATTGAAATGACATATGAAAATAAATTAAGCGATAAAAACTGCAATGTATCAAAATATGATGTGAGCAAGTAGGAAGAGATGTGACCGAGCCCAAGTTGTGGCTTATCCGAGTTGTTGCGATGGAGCTTAAGTAGTAGCTTGTCTGAGTGGCTGATATAGAGGACTGTGCTATATTCTTATTTGACTAAATAGTTTGTTGTATGGTATCGCCACCACTAAAAATAAAATAATAATTTAAGTCTAAATTGTAATGCAATTAATTTTTTTGGAAGTTACAAATATTCAATAGCACATTAAGATCTAAATTTCAACAAGATCGGTGGAAAACCATAGAGGAGCGGCAGCAAGCGCAAGTTGCAAATATTTCTGCATACATGCACATTCATGCACGTCTCTATTGAATTCTTTCAACAGCATTTCAATTGCGTTTGAATTGATTGGGAGCTATTTATCGCCTAACTCTTGGCGAGAATTTAGTTGGTTGATTAATATTATTTGCCGTTATTATTTGGCATGGTTATTTTAATGATTTAAGTTTATTTATTATACGCGGCTACACCGACTGTGCCTGTTCGTTAAAGACTAATTTGACAAATATATGACTATTATAAGCCAGCCCTAGTCTATGCCACAACGGATGTCGTCCAGCATGCAAATCTCATATTACACTTCAGTGGCCATAGGCAGCCTGGTGAGCACTACTATATTTAATTATAGTGACCAGTGCTCAACATAGTCGCTAATTGTTTACTTACGTTAACTTATACATACATTGGGGGGCGTCAGTATACTACAATGGTATTTTTAAAATGATGTATAAATTGTTATCTGATGATGACCAAACTGGTGATTCAATATGCAAAAGTTGTTCTTGATTTAATTGTATTGCCGTTTTATGGTTCAAGAGCTTTAGATCAAACAAACCAGGCCTTGCCAATTGCATGCCTATTTGTACATCGTCAATATAAATTAACCAATTTGTTGGTTGATATTTATAAAAAAAAATATTTTATTGAAATATTTACCGACACTATATGCTTATGTTCAGTTAACAATGCAGACTGAATTTTATGAATAAATTATAAACTAATGAAAACTATTCAATGTGGAAACGTCGCTGTTGGCGTCGACGTCGACAGCTTGGTGTGGTTGCGTCTCCGGAAATGCAGAATTGTTGTCGCAGGGGCTCCCATTTCCGCGGATTCCACAAGGATCTTCTTGTTTGTGTTCTTGTGTAATTGTTTTGCCGAATTTCCGATCCCACGGTAGCTGGCCAGCAAGCGCGTTGATCTCGTATGCACCTAAGTTGCATACGCAACACCTAAATGTCTGCGTTTCCCTGCACGTTAGCATGCTAGGTGTGGGAAACAAATGTAAGCTGTTTTCCGGAGGAGCTTCTTGGCTGGGCTCTGTTTGTTTTATTAAAAAGGCAACCAAGGGCAATAGTATTCCGGATGTTACTCCGAAGTTTGTAAGGGTGTTAGTCTTGAAGTTGGCTCGTAGGCGCCTATCCTCTCTGTGTTATTAGTGTAGATCTTTCATCAGCTGCAGTTACAACACCTTTTCTATCGCCGTTAATGGTCTCTCTAGTTGGATCATTGCTAGTTGTGGTTTAAAGTTAAAAAGACAAAAATTAATTTCCTATGTATTAATCTACAGTTATTAAATTTAATTACAAATAACCCTTTATTTACTTTTTATGTTACCATTAAGCTCGTTAAGAACCGTATCTATTGATTCTATTGTCTTAATGTGATCATTATTAGTAATGGTACAACTATTGTGTGTACTGGTCAATAATTTAATACTGCAGTCACCATTTGAAATATCTATAATATTTGATTTTAAACACTTTTTGATTTTACTAATATATTTACATTGGTGATTAGTAGCGAAAACTGAATATAACATTTTATAACATTTTTATATTAAAATTTGACTATTTGACTATATATATTCTTCTGTAAAAATGTTGCTTAAAACTCTTGTTTATACTTCGGATGTTATGAAAGTATTTGCTATATTAGCTTTTGACAAATGTATAAATCTTCTTTAATTAAATCTATTTTACATTTTAATTGTGTGACAAGAATATTTTGAAAATTTTCTTATTTTTTTATAGCTTGTTTATTTCTTCTTTAATGTCTTTATTTATTACAAATTGTAGGTCCTCCTAATGCCCGCGCAGATCGAGTTTGTTTCCGATATTCGATAACTTGCCCCGTTTCCAAGTAATCGATAAAAATCGATATCGAAATACTGTTTTTTGAGCAATTTCGGCAAATAATATGACCTGGGGTCACCAAACTTGACATGTAGCTTCTAGAATATTATATATATATATCAGGAATCTTTCATTTTATACCTATCGCCACCTCACCGCTACCACCGAAAAGCTATAAATCAAGTTAATTATCGAACTTGTATTGCCCATCAATTTAAGCCACAATTTATATGCAATTGAATTTTTGAGAATACACAAATATTCTTTATTCTATTCTATAATAAGATGTACTGTCGAAAATTTCATTAAGATCGGTTATGAAACACAAAAGTTGTGTGCGCACATGTTAGCAGCATAGCTGCTGCGCAAATTCCAAGAATTTCTATATACATGTACACACACACACATTCATGCGTATTTGCTTTGAAGTCTATCAACAGCATTGCAATTGCGATTGTATTGTTTTCTGTGCTGCTATTTTAATTGTTGAACTGAAGCTCAATTACTGGTGTGGCCCTTGAGTAGAGGCAGCGGCAAGTGGTGCGGTTAGTTGCGAGTTCGAGCCTTGCCAAGGGAACAATATTTTTTTTTTTTTTTTCATTTTTCTTTATTACTACTAAATCAAACGAGCGCGTAGCAGTTGGTGATGAAAGAAGAGGGTTCAGGGTATCCCCTAGTCGGGAAGTCCCGACTAGAACCTCTTACTTGTTTTATTATGTTCATATTATTTGCTATTATTTTGAAGTCTTCAGATTTCGTTTTTATCCCATTTTCTTATCGAATGTGTTGCATTTGACGTTATCGGCAGCATCGATAGTTTGCCTAGTTGGGTGCGTTCTTTATTATCGGCCACGCCGATATCTTTTGTCATAAGGTCAGAGTATCGGGAGTGAAGCCGAGCACACAGCGGCTCCCAATTTATTGAAGAGTGGCAACGCCGGGCTTGCGATCCACGGCGCCAAAAGGGGCGATTGCTATTGGCCGCCCGATTCGCTCCTAAAGAGATTACAGGAAGAGAGGATCGCGGTGCCATTAAATGCCCTTGGCCATCATTTGGGCCGTTGACCCAAAAAAATGCAGCTGTGCAGATGGGCAGCAACGGTGCTCGCCTCGTAAATGTATGCGTGTGCCGAAATTCGGCACCGATGATGTTGCTGCCCAAATGTGCAGTAGAGGAGTTCGATTTGGTCAGCTGTTAGTGGCGTGGTGTGCGCAAGCGCACCTTTGAAAAATAACTTTTCCAGAAAAACATAAAGTATCTATGGCCTATGAACTATTTTTTATTATTTGCTTATTATTAAGTGAGTCCGTTCTAAGCACACCGCCCCACAGACTCAGCCAAAAACGGCGTGCTGCTGCATCAAGCTGCAGTTTTTTTTCTATTCATAGATTAAAGTTTGTTTGTATAAATTGAATCATATCTCTCGCTCTGCGTATTTCACCTAATAAAACTAGCAAGTAATCCTGTAACGGGAAGGAACGTCCCCAAACACCATTGCGTCTGCCGACCGCAATAGTCGAGCGCAGAATGAAATTTTGCACACTTGCGTAAATATATACATACATATATACCAGCCCTTAAAGAAAAGGAAGAAAAAAGGAATAGAGATTAAACCAAAAAAATATATGTTTATGAATAACACGTATCGCCCCTTATCTCGCCCAGAGAGCTCTTTAGGTAGGGTAAGTAATTTTAAGCGACTTAGATAACCTTTATAATCTAAGCATATTTGTTTTTATACCCTGAACCCATAAAATAGGTAAAAAGGATATAATGTATTTGTGCAAATTGTATGTACATTTTGCAAATGTATGTAACAGGCAGAAGAAAGCATCTCCGACCCCATAAAGTATATATAGTCTTAATCAGCATCAACAGCCGAGTCGATCTAGCCGTGTCCGTCTGTATGTCCGTCCGTCCGTATGTATGAACGCAAGGATCTCAGAACCTATAAGAACTAAATGCCACAAGACACTAAGCCACTAAGCCACAATTTAAATGCAATTGTGAGAATACATGAATATTTTAAAGTACAATAAGATCTACTGATGAAAATTACATCAAGATCGGGTATGAAACACAAAAGAAAATGTACTTCGGCTGCCCACGTGTTTGCGGCAGCTAGCGCAAATTCCAAGAATTTCTGTATACATGTACACACACACATTCATGCGCGTCTGCTTTAAATTCTATCAACAGCATTGCAATTGCGATTGTATTGTTTTCTGTGCTGCTATTTCAATTTGTTTTTTTTTTCATTAAGACTCAGTAATTGGTGTGGCTGTTGAGTAGTAGTGTGGCTGTTTATGGATTATATGTATATTTCTGCGTGAGTCGTGCTTACGTCCCTCGACCAATCAATTATTCTATATTATTTCTCCATGTGGTGTTTCAGCGGCGGCCAGCAAGGGTTTGTGGGGATTTTCTCGACTTGTAGACTAATTTGCTCATTTGCATGAAATTACATAAAGAAGGTTGCAGATGTTCTGCAATGAGATAAGAGATAATGAAATAAGTAATAATATTCATGTCAATATTTCAATAATTATAGGGATATGCAAGTAATTATACGCGCCTGGTGAAGTAGAAAAGAAATGTCCGATTGCATGACATTGTAAATTTCTGAGTGGAGGTATCCTGCAAGGAGAAAGGCAATAAGAAATGAAAAGAATGTCCGGCTAAGTTTAAATTTATGGGGAGAGTGGGCATAACAGCCGACACGGGCTGATGCAGGCCATCTACTGGCCAAAATGAGGAAGCAGAGATCAGGTGATCGTCTTAGGTAGGGCGGGTAAGCTGGGTCCGGAACCGGGACCCGATCTGGAAAAGTAAAGTGGATAAATAGTGTTTTTTTGATCATTTATATTGAGCTTCTCACCTTTGTTGTTTACATTTTCGTGTTGCTACAGCTGTTAGTGTTGTTCTTTTGATAGAAATTCCGACTGTTTGTTGTTATCAGTTATGTAGTTCATTTTGAATAGTGTTGTATAGGTATGTTTTGCTACAGACGTTGTAGCAGGGATCGGACTACAACCAGAGAACCGATGAGCCAGCCGGCGCGGCCCAAAGGGAAACAAGCAGTTCCGTAACAAATGCGTTGTTAGTTTGTGTTTTACAAACCCCTTTTTGAGGTTTGTTGTGGAAATATAAGTCCTGTCGTTGTTTTTTATGAGTTTTTCATAATAATTGTTTCTAGTTTTTTCATAGTCTGCTGTACCAAAATTAGTAGATCTTCCACAAAATAGGTCAACGTGTTTTTTCCCTATGATAGAATGTATAATATGATTCTATTTACACAATGCCAATTCGAGTAGTTCGTGCGTTTTTCTTGTTTTATGCACCTCATTATCTCCATTAGAGTTGAGTGGAACCTTTCGACTTGACCATTTTCTGTACCCTTGTGTGGGGGTGTATTAAAAACATCAATGCCAACTTGATTTTTTAACATGAACTCTATTGACTGTGAATTAAGGGACTTTTCGTTATCGACGATAAGCGATTTATGTAGTCCAAATTAAACATAATTTCTCCTAATGGTTTTCTTATAGCCTCAATGCTACAGTTTTCTAGTGGCTTAGCTACTGCTTATTTTGCAAATTTATCTATTGAAATTAGTACTAGTTCTCTGTTTATTGAAAAAAATTCTATGTGAAGTATATGACCTGGATACTTGGGTACAGGGGTTTCTCCTAGTTAAATAGTATTTGGGTGTCGTGCATATTTACTTTCTTTTCGAATTGTACACAGTTTAAGTAATCGTAATATTTTGCGTCATTGGTGGAAAGTATGCTGTTTCTAACATTTGAAGTATCCATAGTTTCTTTTTCGTTCCTGTGCTGCTTGCTGGTTCTGTTTTCGTTAAAACGTACTTTACAGTTTGAAAAATGTAATGGGTAAATGGTTTGGATTTTAAGCATGGTTCAGTTGTTTTTATGTAGTTTATAACTGGAGGATTTAGATATCACTTGAGTAATTGTTTTAAGTTTTTAGCCGAGAATTCTTTCTCTCTAATTATGTGTCAGTGGTAAGTCGGTTATATTATTTTGAATTGGTATGACGAACTTTCGTCAATTTCTAGGAATAATTGATTTTTAAAAGCATTAATAGGAATTTCCGCTGAATGTAATAAATTTTCTCAAGAACTTTGGGTACTGTACATAGTTGGAGTTAACGTATTTAAACTGGCTTGAGGGGTCTAGATAAAAGATCTGCAACAGCGTTGGTGTTGCCTGGTTTATAAAGGACTTCGTAATTATAATTTTTTTACCTGAGCCTTCCATCTTTTCATTTTAGCGTCACTATTTTTGTTGTTAAGCGCAAAGGTTAACGGCTGCTGATCTGTGTAAATTTTGAGTTGCGCGCTGTGCGAGATGCGGCTTCATACTGAACGTTCGGCTTTCGAGGCCGGCGTTCGGCTGCCACTCTCAGCAGTCTTACTTTGTCTGGGCACACTAAAATGGTCGCGGACACCCATGGGGCTCAGTCGTTGACGATTTATCGGTATCCGATTATTCCGCTGTTTGACAAGCCTATGCATTGTATGGTTAGTGGTTATAGTTTTGTTGGTATCGATTGTGCGGACTGCGGGCCAGGGATGGGACTACACCCAGAGAACCGATGAGCCAGCCGGCGCGGCCCACCGAGAAACAAGCAGTTTCCGTAACAATTGACTATAGAAAGTTGAACGAAATTACCACTCCTGACAGGTAACCAATGCCAGAAATAAACAGCATTTTATAAAACCTCGGTGAGAAAAATTTCTTCACTACAGTCGACCTTAAAAGCGGGTTTAAACAATTCGCTCTGAAAGATTCCGACATAGAAAAGACAGCCATTTCAATTAATAATGGTAAATTCCAGTTATTAAGACCTTACTTCGGGCTACGCAAGGCCGCATCTATTATTTAAAGTACTCTTGATGACTTAACAAGAGAACACATAGGAAACGAAATCAGCAAAGATGGTTTAAGAACCAACCCAAAAAAAATAGAAGCAATAGTTAATTTTCCCAAACTAAAAACAATCCATGACCTTCGTTTATTTTAAGACATTTCAGGATATAATCGCAGGTTTAACAAAGGTAACTACGCTACTTAGCGGAGAGGCGGGAACAATCTCTAAAACAATCTCAAAAAGAACTCCTATTAACTTAAATGCAAAGTAAATAGAAGCCTTCATAAAATTTAAAGATCATATTACATTTTCCCAACTTCAATGAGCCATTTGAACTAACCGCTGACGCAAGGAGACAGGCTACTAACCTTCCTATCATGAACACTCAGTTAATCAGACGAAAACTACTCAACAAATGAAAAGGAAATGTTAGCAATTATTTGGGCACTTCGAGAGCAACGCACAGAGGGCACACAATTGCAGAAAAAATCTCTGGCTCGCGACAAACGCCGCGATCTACTTGTGCGCACATCCACACAACACAAACATATATATGTTTGTAGATCTCGGGGTTTTTGAGAAGCTATGCAGGGAGAAGGAGATGCCCACATGTGTGCAAAGCAATAAGTGTGAGCGAGGCACACTCTGCACACGCATATACACATATGTATGTATTTGGGCTGAAAAGATTTAATACTAACATACATATATTACGAAACAACATCAGCCGCAGCAACGTTGTGCGCTGAGCGAGATGCGGCTTCATACTGAACGTTCGGCTTTCGGGGCCGGCGTTCGGCTGCCACTCTCAGCAGTCTTACTTTGTCTGGGCCCACTAAAATGGTCGCGGACACCCATGGGGCTCAGTCGTTGACGATTTATCGGTATCCGACTATTCCGCTGTTTGACAAGTCTATGCATTGTATGGTTAGTGCTACAACGTCTGTAGCAAAACAGACCTACACAACACTATTCAAAATGAACCACATAATCGATAACATCAAACAGCCGGAGCTATTAACAAATGAACAACACTAACAGCTGTATCAACAAGAAAATGTAAACAACGAAGGTGGGACGCTCAATATAAATTAACAAAAAACCACTATTTATCCATTTTACTCTTCCAGATCGGGTCCCGGTTCCGGACCCAGCGTACCCACCCTACCTGAGATGATCATTTGATCTCGTCTCCCTCATTTTGTTATGGCCACTCTCCCCATCAATTTAAACTTAGCCGGACATTCTTTTCCTTAAATATGTGCGTATAATTGGTTGCGTTTTCTTAAAATTAATACAAATTATTATCATTTCTTACTGCATTTATTTTTACAGCCACTTACAATCTCATGCAAGCGGACATTTCCCCCAACTTCACAGGTGCGTATAATTATTCGTATATTCTTATAATTATTAACAATTAATATTACTTCTATTACAGGTATCTCCGCAGTCTATCTTCACTCAGCTATTAACGTTCTCATGCATATAATATAATTATTGCATATACTTATGATTATAGACAAAGTGTATTAATTAAAAAAAAAATGCAATTCTTTTCTAGCCGAACAACACAAAGAAAGGACGTCACAGAAAGCTAATGCCAACCGCCGTTGGGAAAAACGTATTAAATTGAGCGATTGGCTCCCCACACGTTCGCGCACGTATATAAGTTAACAAAAAATAAATTCATACAGTCCCAATAAGAAGCATTGCAACACCTCATAAGAAGTGCAGCAAAATGCTGACTTGGTGTCTGTGCCATTTCCTCCACGCGCCGACTAACAACCGCCGAAAATTCGAAGAAGAATTGCCCAACGGGCCAACAACATCAGCAGCGACGCCGCTGCCAACGCCGCTGCCGCTAAGCCACAGGTTACTAGGGCTAGAATTGATTTAAGTTTATTCAGTTGCAAATTAACATCAAATAAAGGAAGTCTTGCTTCCCTAAAAATTATATTTTTTTCATCGTTTAATAAACTTTGGAATTAACTGGCGCCCGAGCAGGGACCGGCTCGTGTTACCACAGAACAAAACGCTTCTACGTGCGCGTTAGTCGGTTATACGCGAAAATAAAACCAGTGCAACTATCGTCGATTAAATTCAACGATTGGCGAAATTCGCGAAAGGCAATTGGAACTAAATTGTTCAATTTTGCCCATCGGTGGACAACGCATCTTGTAAGGCCCGCCCGCAGGATACTCTCAACGAAGACTGGTCGCAGGATCCCCAGAAGATACCCAAAGGCTTCAAAAAGGATGAAATCCGGACCGGCAGGGGAGGTTGCCACATCAGGAATAGTACTATAAGTTAGAAACTAAGTGAAACACAAAAAAACAAACGAACATTTACAAAATAGAGTCATGGCGAATAACGCAGAGCAGATGATATCAGCCACGGTTAGCCAGATTTTGGCACAACAACTGCCGACATTAGTAAAGCAGTTAGTCAACCCCTCTAGGGAGTTTAGTGACGTAGACGACCAAACAATAACTGCCAACCACAATTTGAATGACTTAGACAGAGTTCCGGACATAGTTAAAAGCCTCAGAGAATTCTCCGGTAATCCAGCGGAATTTAGCTCATGGAAGAAGAGTGTAGATCGTATACTCTCAGCCTATGCAGCTGAGGCAGGTTCTCCAAAATGCTTTGGCATATTGCATACAGTGAGAAACAAAATCACTGGCAATGCCGACACGGCCCTCGAGTCGTATAATGTTCCCCTAAATTGGAGCGCTATCTCCAAATGTCTCACGCTGCACTACGCAGACAAAAGAGATCTGGGAACATTAGAATATCAGATGACAATGTTAGTGCAAGGTAACAACCAAACAGTAGAAGAATTCTACCAGGTCGTTTACAACCACTTGTCGCTGATATTAAATAAACCCTTATGACAAAAATATATCGAGATAAAGCATTAGATACCTTCATTAGAGGTTTGAAGGAGATTTACCACGGATTCTTGGAATAAAGGAGCCAGCAGATCTACCTTCAGCCCTTCACTATTGTTTAAAACTAGAGAATCAAAGCTATCGCACTAACATGGCTTTGAATAGAAATCAACAGACACATGCCAGAAACCCAAATAGAAATATACCACCACCTACACTGCCACCCCGAACAGCTCAGCCTTCTTTCGCCCAAACTTTTAGGCCACCTCTCCCGATCCACACACCTTGGCCAACCAATACAAACCATAGACCACCGACTTACAACAATAATGTACCGATTCCACAATACCCCAACCAACGAACCTACCAGACACAACCACAACAGGTATACGTACCCAATAGACCTTCTGCACCAAAACCCCAACCACGTCCTGAGCCAATGGACGTGGACCAAAGCATCCGCACGAGGATGATAAATTACATGAACAGACCCAATTTTGAAGTAGGGAAAAGACCTCCACCACCAACAAACGCCACGGACAAAAAACAAAGAAATTTCAACATACAAACAGGAGAAGAACAGACCGAGACAGAAAACACTGACAACTATGTGACCATGGAGGAATACGTACAATCAATGCTAAACTACGAACAGCAGACTGAATACGAGCAGCCATTAAACGAATACGCCCAACAAATTGAAGAAACAGATGACGGACAAAATACCCAATACGAACACTCAGACATTTTAGGATAAAGAGCTCCTCTCTTCCTTACATAGAATGTAAGATGGAGAGCGGAAAATTACTCAAAATACTAATAGATACAGGATCAAACCGAAATTACGTCCAACCGAAATTCGTGTCCGAACCTATTCCAAACGAAAAACCCTTCGAAGCCGTCACAGTCGGCGGAAGCATTAAAATTACACACCACAAGTTCGCTAATCTTTTCAATAGAAACGATATAAAAATAAAATTCTTTCTCTTACCCACCCTAAAATCATTCGACGCCATATTAGGTAACGATAGTCTAAAGGAACTAGATGCTGTGATACAAAGCAGCAAGAATCTACTAATAATCAAGAACAATATTTGCATACCCATTAAGCAGAAAAAAATAGAGGCGGTCAACACGGTAATACCACGGACAAAACATATGACAAACGAACAAAAAAATAGCCTTAATCAACTAGTTAAAATGCACCCACACCTATTCGCCAATCCGGACGAAAAACTGACATACACAACCAACGTCAGAGCAGAGATTCGAACAAAAACCGACTCCCCCATATATTCAAAATTTTACCAATTTCCAATGTCTTTAAAAGACGAAGTACACAACCAAATCAAAGAACTTTTAGAGGACGGAATCATCCGACCCTCCCGATCCCCATACAATTCACCTGTGTGGATTGTTCCGAAAAAATTAGATGCCTCCGGGCAAAAGAAATATCGCATGGTTATAGACTACAGGAAACTAAATAAAGAAACTACCGCAGACAAATACCCTATACCCGAAATCAACGAGGTACTAGCACAGCTAGGCAATAACAAAGTTTTCTCTGTCTTAGATTTGAAAAGTGGCTTTCATCAAATACCCCTTAAGGAGTCAGACATAGAAAAAACTGCCTTCTCCGTTAACAACGGAAAATACGAGTTTACACGACTCCCATTCGGTCTCAAGAATGCGCCCTCAATTTTCCAGAGAGCTCTTGACGACATCCTTCGTGAGCATATTGGAAAAATATGCTTCATTTATATTGACGATATCATTATCTTTAGCAAAGATGATGAATCGCATGCGCAGCACCTTGCCGCCATATTCAGAACTCTACAAGAAGCCAACATGAAATGTCAGTTGGACAAATGCGAGTTCTTTAAAAGCAGAGTAGAATTCCTGGGATTTGTCATCTCAGACAAGGGGATAGAAACTAATCCAAGCAAAATTGAGACAATAAGGAAGTACCCACTTCCAAAAACACTCAAAGATTTAAGATCGTTTATTGGCCTCGCCAGCTATTATAGGAGGTTTATAAAAGACTTCGCTAAGCTGGCAAAGCCCCTTACCTCTCTTTTAAGAGGGGAAGATGGACGGGTGTCCAAAAATCAATCAGCTAAAAAGCTCATTAATCTCAACGAAGAAGCGATCGAAGCATTCAATAAAATAAAAAATTCCCTAGTTTCGAATGAGGTAATACTTCATTACCCGGACTTCAGCAAAGAATTTCATCTGACAACAGATGCATCCAACTTTGCTATTGGGGCTGTCCTATCCCAGAACAAGCGACCCATTTGTTTCCTCTCTAGAACTCTCTCTAAAACAGAGGAGAACTACGCCACCAATGAAAGGGAAATGTTGGCAATAATTTGGGCCTTAAAAGCCCTCAAGAATTACCTCTACGGTAAAGCGAGTGTAAAAATATACACCGACCATCAACCCTTAACCCACTCTCTTAGCAGTTGGAACGGCAACGCTAGGATAAAGAGGTGGAAAGCTTACCTAGAAGAGTTCGATTACGAACTCCTCTATAAGCCAGGTAGGGATAACATTGTAGCCGATGCGCTATCACGTATCCCTGTGATCAATAATATTGGATCAGTAGCCTCCACCCAGCACAGTGCAGACAGTTCAAGCCACAACTTAATTCCGAGCATAGAAGCTCCAATTAACGTATTCAAAAACCAGATATTTCTCAGTAGAGCCAACGAAACAAATTACGAATTCCATATCCCATTCCCAACATTCCACAGGCATACGATTACTCGACCAAATTTCTCAGAACACGACCTTACGCAAATACTGAAAGTTCATCTAAACCCATCCGTAATCAACGGAATAATAACCTCAGAAGAAATAATGAACCAAATTCAGCAGATATATCCCCAACATTTTAGTAACTTCAAGATTAGATTCACACAGTCTCAAGTAAAAGATTTAACAAATGAAACAGAACAAGATGAGAAGATATTGGTTACACACAACAGAGCCCACCGCAACGCACTAGAAAACAAAATGCAATTGTCCGAAAGATTCTATTTCCCAAAAATGAAGCAACGAATAACAGAATTAGTCAAACAGTGTCAGGTTTGTAAAGAAGAAAAATACGATAGGCATCCCACTAACCCAAAACTCAAAGAAACACCAATCCCCGAATACCCAGGACATACAATCCACATCGACATATACACGACAGAAAAAAACTTAGTACTAACGGCAGTAGACAAATTTTCGAAATTAGCTCAGGGACGAATAATCAAATCTAGGGCAATAGAAGACATTAAAAAACCACTTCATGAAATCCTTTTTTATTTTGGCGTACCTAAAGCCGTTGTAATAGATAACGAAAAATCCCTTAATTCAGCCTCAATCACTTTTATGATGCAGGACCAATTAAATATAGAAGTTTATAAAACACCACCCTACAAAAGCGCAGTGAATGGTCAGGTAGAGAGATTTCATTCAACACTATCAGATATTATGAGATGCAACAAAAGAAAACAGGAACACAGAACATTCGAAGAACTACTTAACAAATCAATATACGACTACAACTACACTATACACTCGACAACTAACAAGAGACCATTAGACATATTCTTCGGCAGAAACGTGACTACAGACCCAGACCAATACGAAAAAGCTAGGAAGGAGAACATTGACAGACTCAAACAGAAACAATCGACCGACATGCAGAATCATAACAAAAAACGTAACGACATACGAACTTATATACCAGGTCAAGAAATATTCGTCAAAGTCAATACCAGATTAGGTACCAAACTGTCACCCAGATACAAAAAGGAAATAGTTAAAGAAAATAGAAACACAACCGTACTAACAACAACTGACAAAATAATACATAAAAGCAATATAAAAAATACATAAAAATTACAGATTCCTACTAATGATGACAATAAAGCAACAGAAGGACACTTAGAAATCTTGAACTACACAGACGCACAAACAATTACAATTCTAAAAGGAATAGGGAAACTACAGACATCGACCACCGAATCGTACAAGTCATAGAGCTAGAACAGATCAAAAACGCATTAGA